GTAGGCAGATTTTGTTGAATAAGACCGATGTCTGTAGGTTTACTTTTTTCTTGGAAATCTTCTCAAGTAAGTTGATAAGCCGTTTTAACTTTTGCCCGTTGTTCTAACAACGTTAAAACGGCTTATCGACTTCTTGAGAAGACTTCCAAGAAAAAAGTAAACCTACAGACATCGGTCTTATTCAACAAAAAATGAGTATTTGTAATGAATAATACTATCATTTTTTTAATTTTTTTTGTAGTGAAGTAGTCTAACATCTGGTTGAATGTAGGATAAACCTGAAATAATTTCCATGAAAATTTTAAAGATAATAAATTGTCTTGATAGACAAAATTTCAATTTTAGATTTTTTCATTGCACTATTTCTCTAATCTGTTTTGTGTCAGTATCTTTTCTCAAAGTATAGATCACATCTTAAATTATTTTTCTTAATTAGAAATAAGATTTTTTCCCATAAGAACTTATTATTATAAGTAGATAAAATAATATTGTCTGAAATGTTCATGGGTAAAAGCCACGTTTCCAGTATTTCTGCATTACAAATGTCCAAGTATATCTTGTACTCTAGCAAATATGGTGCTTGTATATTGAAATATTTTTCATGGTTGTTTTGAATGATATATTTCAGAATACAATTGGAATAATTTTTAAATTTATCTTTACCCTCTGGTATGCTGCTATTTATTTACTCTCAACTATTATGTTTCAGTACCCTTTCAGGCTCCAGTTCTGTGGCCATAGACAATAAGATTGAGCAAGCCATGGTAAGCTTGTTGTTTAGAGCAATATGCCTAAGCCTAAAGTTAAAGATTTTGTGATTGTGGTATAGGATTTCATTTATTTTTCCACACTAACTTTTAGAAGCAGAACTGTGGATGTTATTTTCTCCTGCATTTTACTAGTAAGAGATTTTTCTGTCATAAATGTGCTGCAGCCTTTTTTGTTGTTGTTGGAGTTTGATTAGATGACCTTCTTTTTTTTCTTTTCTTTTCTTTTTAGCATAACTGCAAGTATTGAATTTTAACCACCCACTTATCATAGATAAATGAAGTTTAGAAAGCTTTGTGGAACCCACTGCATATTAACTTTTTACCTGCACTTATGTTTACCCCATTTTGCTCTGTTGCCCAAAAGTATTGTGATTACATGTGTATTAATTTATTAGCAAAAACTGCTGAATTTTGAACTTATGGAAAAAAGTTTAACATTTCTTGTTGTAAAAAATTGTTCATTCAGTTGTTTTACATTTCTTTTTATTTTATAAACACAAAATGTATGCCATTTGTATTTTGGGTAAGATTATAGGATTTTTGTGATAATCTCAATAAACTTAAACTAACTATTTATTTTCATTTTTAACTACTTAAACAATTATACATATTTATATTCTTATACAATGGAGGGGGGTGTTTTAGTGCTTGACACTATCTTTTTTTGTAGTAAAAAAGTATTTTCAAGTGTGTAACTGTCATATACTATTTTTTTTTAAGGACCTGGTTAAGAGTCACCTTATGTTTGCTGTTCGAGAAGAAGTAGAGGTCTTGAAGGAAAAAATCTCGGAACTAATGGATAAAATCTCACAATTGGAATATGAAAATGAAATTCTGAAGGCTTATGCCTCTGAGGAAACACTCACCAAAATTTCCATGGGAGGCTTTCAGTCAGCTTCAGAAGCTCAGTTAACAATCTCAGCTCAACTACCCTCTCACTCACAGCATCCCATGTAACAGTTAATAGTGTAATAGAATGTATAGAAAAAAAAGAGTTTTAGTTTTAAGAGTGATCTTTAGATGTCTCACTAACTATTGTGTAATGTAACTGATGATTTAAAGAAATGGAATAGCTGACATGGATGCTTGTGCCTGATAAAAAAAAAAATCTAACAATAATGATTTCATGAACATATTAAGTTGTTTCTGATTATTTCAGAAAATATTTTTTAAAATAGTTTATTTGTTAGAAATATAGTTGCTCATCAAAGCTTGATAAATAATTCCTCAAACCTTAAAAAGTTTTAGTTCTAATGGTAACATAAGTTTTGAAGACCACTTGACAGAAACTTTTTTCATCTCTATTTTGATTTAACACAGGATCTATCCTTCATCCAGAGGTGCCTTGGTGGCAGGGATGAGATGTAACATATTTGGTATTTGTCCAATTTTTTTGAAGCTTAGATGTTTCCAAATCAAACAAAAATTGACCAAGTTGTAACTAGTTGCATCATAAGCAGAAACCCCATAGTTAATGACAGTTTTCTATTTTGCCCATCATTGCATTAGTTTTTCAGACCAGAGCCCAACAGATTTTTAGCAGATAGCTCCAAACCCCACTGATCATGGTTGGAACTTTGCTACTCTTCAGCATGTTATCATTAATCACCATTATTCCCACTATTGTCTGCATATGCATGGTTTCAAAATGTTCAACTTGCAACCTGTGTAGCCACTGTGTATGCAATTATGATGGACTTTTTGACAGCCTTTGTTGAGGCAAATCCATCTATCAAGGCGAAAAATGTTATGTCGGCACTCAAAAATAGATTTAGTGCTGACAAGGACAGTAAATCAAGAAGATCAAGAACAAAGTGTCAAAACTCAAACAGACAATGAAGAAAGGTTGCATAGTTTGACTTGAGAGTAAAAAAAAGATACAATCAATTAGCATGTGTGACTGTTGCTGGTAAGGTGATGTGTCCACTTGCAAACCCCATCGATTTTGACTGTTCATATCTCCCGACTGAAATATGTTACCATCATATGGATTGCATATTTCGATACAACAGGTTCTGGCCTATCCAACAGTATATGCAACATCTCCAAGACACAATTAACTGAATTTTTTGTTCCTTGACCCACCACCCAAAAACACTATTTTGCCTCTGCTTAAGGGAGAGATCCTTTATTAAGTTGTTACTTACTTTCCAAATCTGCAATAATTTTTTAATTTTATGAGGTATTTATTATATTCTAATAACCTAACAGAGGCATGATATTACTGGAACAGTTTTAATACACAGTTTTTATCATACTTAAATGTCTAAACTTGAAAATTATTTTAAATTGTACAGTTATTATTAAAAGTAAGTCATCTTTTTTCCAAATTCTGTCAGTTTTTGTGTTACAAATAAAACACAAAAACAAATTGAAAATTTTTTGCATTAAGGTTTCTTTACGTTATAAAAGTCAAGATGGGGTTATTTGGTTTTTGGCTGGTCATGGGCCCTAGCAGCTTAGTGAGTAACAATGGCCTTGGAACAGTGGTGTGAGCCAAAGGTCCCAGTTTTAAGCCTTGATCAGGGCAGATTCTGTAACACCCTGGTTCTTTATTTTGACACCCAATATGTAGTCATACCAACCTGAGATGGTGGATCAAACCAGTTTTGTAGATGCTTAAATCAGTGGTTTGCTTGGTAAACTGTGTATGTGTGTGATTGTTTAGTTGGTTGAAGAATAAAACCTAATTGTGTTCTATGTTGACATTTTGTGTTGTTTGTTGTCAAGCTTGAGAATGTCAAGTAGCATTATGTTTCATGTTGTAGACTCATGGGCATTTATTTCTTTGAGTGGGAGGATTATGTGCTAAACAGGATGAGAATAATTTAAAATTCAATTAGCTAAACTGTGAGTAAAAGTTCAGTAGCTGTTTGCTGATTGTTTAATCTAGGCTTCATCTGAAGGATTAAAAGCATGCCAAACAGTGCTTGAACTGTCCTAGAATATAATGTGGTCCCAATCTTCAGTATGTTCAAAGTAATCAGTAAAGCCAAAAAAGGAGACTATACTACAGGTGAAGTAAACATTTCTAATCCTTCAGATGAAGCCTAGATTAAACATTCAGCAAATAGCTACTGACCTTTTACTCAAAGTTTAGGTAATTGAACTTTATTTAAACTTTCACACTCAACTGTATAATTGAGAGTTATTTATTTGGACCTTGAGCTCTAATAGCCCAGTTGATAAAGCATAATTGTTTAGAAACTATTGTTTATATTGTGTTCAAACCTAGGTCATAGCAAATTCATTAGCTTTCTCTTATATTGGCTTAATATGGGGGCCATCTCACTCTCTGAGGGCCATCTGAGCTTGGTAGATGGTAAATCAAACCATATATTTGCATACTTGGCTTGTCAGTTGACCTATATATAGCGGGATTGTGTAGTTGGCTTGTGAGTATCTGGAATGTGTGTGTTTGTTGACAGCTTGGAGATGCTATGAAGACAATATATATTGTGCATTAGTAATTTGCTTGTTGGGAGCTTGAAGATGCTGGGTTATGTTGGGTTTAATATTGTTAACTCAGGAACAAATCTTGTTAGAGTGTATACATATATATATGGGTGGTTATATAATGATAAAGATGGAGTTTAACTGCTTTTTAATTAAATCCTAGAAGCTCATTTGGTAGAGCATCAGCTTCACGGCATTAGGGGGCTGTTCCACCTGTGCTGAGAACAGTTGAGTCATGTAGTAGAAGGTAGATTAACTCATTTATGTACATTCTTGGTTCAGCCATTGTCTTGGTTTAATATATGATTGTATAGTAGACAGAAATATCATTGCATCCACTAATAGAAACTTTAGCAAACATTAGCCCTGATTTTACTAGTTAGCTGAGTTTCAAAGCTGGTTTTCTGCTGGCCAATGTGATGTAAATGTAGTGAGACACATAATATAAACAAAAAGACATTGATTATTAATATGTAGGTTTTCAAACCATATTATTACTTTACCTTCTGATAACAAGACAGTGAACATTTTCTGTCTTTTAAAATCTACTTGATTTATGGATGATCTTTTGTGCTATGTTTTCATCAAGGGTGAACCTTAATATGCATTGCAGAAATTAGTTTATTGCAAAATTTTGTGATGCAAATATATGCAGTGACAGTGTGTGTATTATAAAACCTGTAGTTACTATACAATTATAAGGAATACGCTTAATTAAAACATTTATCAGAGGTGATAGTGATATCAAGAGAGTTGCATATACATATATGTGAATAATGTACTTTTACAATATATATATATATATATATGTCACAGCTTTGCCATTATAAAGTTATTATTCACATCAACACTTGTGTAACTACTAACATAACCAAGCAATGTATTTCTGTATTTTGGCAAGCTGAAAATAATACATTCTTTTATTAACAAAAATAAAATAATTTTAGTTTATCCCAATGGTGTTAAGAAAATAGCAAATATAAGATGCTTCCCTGAACCTGATACATACACATTTTGAAACAATATCTGCACGTGAAATCACTGTTAGACTTTCACTGACAATATCAACTCTTTTATGTGAGGTACTGAAATGCCAGATGATCTGTCAGATCACTGGCTCATTTAGAGAACTGACTCTTTGAAAATTACACATTTTTCTGCATCATTCACTAAAAATACCAGAATTTTGATAACTTCACCTATTCTACCATCCTGGAGTAGACCAACATGATCATTGGATTTTATTGCTCTGGTGTAATCACTTGTTGGTATATTGCAAAGTGCTTGTAAGTGATAAAAGACTGTGGTATGAAACTATTATAAGCAGCAGAGACAGCATAACTGTTTACAACATGTGTCTTTTAGCTCTGAATAACCCCTTAGTCTCTTGACAAATTCTAAAGCTCTAAATCTAATATGGTAAATTTTTCCAGCTGATGGAAGTGCCTTATTAATAAAACAATTATTGAGTATTTGAAAAGAAACAACTTTTGAAGTTTTTACTAACTTGACTATCTTTCCACTGTCCATTTCCAAAGAAAATGAAAAGTGTCATCATAAAGGTTCACGGTACCTGACATTTTCTGCAATATGAGTGAGCTTATGTATTGAAAGTTGTATTATGGACTCTATACATGACCTGCAGTGCTACTAATTATTCAGGCAAAATTTATCAGCTGAATTCAGATCTTCTTAGTAAATGTCATTTCCCAGAACTGTGTGGATAGCCTGCATTAAAAGTGCCATATGCTTAAAATTCGTGTTGGGTAAACTCCCACTTAAACAAGGTATACTGTGGAATAAAAGTCAAGCCTTCCATTCAGAGGCTTTCCAAACATTTGTCTTTGTTAAAATTCTGGGTTGTCTTGTGATCAACTGACTTGTGATGCAACTACGTAGTACTACTATTCTCCGACATCCCAAAGCCATAATGGTCACTTGTGGAATAACACTTAACAATATGCAGTGCATGAGGTCAGTCACAAATCCATTTAAGATCTTAAAATGGATAGATAAACTAGAGGAGATAGTCCCTTAACAGTTCTTACACAATACCCTTTCCCTTTAGCCTGTTACATATTATGAAGCATCTGTCTTTTTGTTATCTGTATATTTCATGGTTCATTGAAGAATTAACATACCTGTTAATTATAATACCAGAATGATAGCAAAAACTGCAGCCATTTTTATATATATAATAACTATTAAACTGATTACAGTTCTACATAATAGTCTTGGAGTGGCAGCAATGCAGTAACATATGCCAAAAACTTTACTATTTATGATCATGAAGCTTCTTTTTACAAATTGTTTCTAATTCTTTGGCTTGCTCCACAATTCTGTCCAAAAATATTCATCTGTGATTCTCCCTTACCAAAATCACACTTGTTTTGTTTTGTTAGCAGTAGCTCATTCTAAGCAAGCTGAATAGAATACAGAGAATAATCAGAAGACTTAAATACTGGACATAAATCACTATTAAAAGCATTGGTTATTTGTATCAGTGAGTACATTCTATGGTTGGCTAAATTCTGAATATGATACACCATCATATACATCACTTTAGTGTTTTTTATATTTTTTGACTCTAGTAAACCTGTAAGACAATATTCTTGAAATATCAGGGGCATGTAGTGACACTGCATTTGAGAAGAAACTGGAAGTGTCATAAATGGCTAGTTTCTTGGAAAATTTTTATGTTAAAAATCTTGCCATACTATGAAAAAGAAAATATTGTTTATATGGAGAGTCAAGCTGCTTACAACTGCCAACATTAGTCCGACACAAACTGCATAAAAAGTGAAAAATTAACTTCTGGATATTTGTTATTAAAAACTTGTAAAACATGTATTTTGTTCTTGACAAAATTGCTTTCCCAAATAGCTCATTGATTACCTGTAACAAATCAATTAATGCCACAACAGGTAAACTGTCTCAATGCATAATTCACTATAATTAACAGGGCATCTGCTTTTGTTGTGTTTACAGAATTACTCAGAGAGTTATATAAATGTATACAGTATGACAATACTGACAAAGGATCAATGTAAAGTGTCATTTTCATTTGAAAGAAAAAATCACTCTCACTGAAATAAAAAATGTCTTCGATGTCAGATAAACTTTCAGTTGAGATGTCATTGTCATCATGCTTCTCCTGTGCATTTTTTCTTATTTTTCACCATCATATATAGTAACTCTTTCAGATTACTAAAAAAGAAACAAAAAATACTTTAGAAAAGCAGGCCTTATTGTTTAAGGTCATGGTAAATTATTTATCTGGTACAGTACACATGCTCTAATTCAAATATAAATATGTAGCATTGTTCACACAGTAGTCGCTGAATGCATGTCACCCTAACCATTTTCAAAAATTAAATACAGATAAATGTGTATTGACAACATACTCCACCCACTACACCTAAAAAAACTTGTTAAACTTACTCTGTTATATGAGTAGTAAAAGAAAAATGTTACAGTAAAAATCATCAGATTACCTTAATTTTATTTAAATCCAAACTGGCTCAATGTACAGATAAGAAAGTCTTGCAAATAAAAGAGAAAAAACAGCTTATTGAAAAAAAGATTATTAAATGTACCTCGACTTCTCACAATTTTTCTTCCTATTACTTCAAATTGGAAGTGAGCTTAAAATTCTCTGTTATCTAGCTAAATTGCAGAATATAAATGTAGGTCCTCATTTCCATAACAGTTAGGAGCTAGGTTACTTTTATTGTCTTACCATTTTGTTACTAGATGAGTTAATATCAGATGTTCTTTGATCAGGTATGGCATCCATTTCTTGTGTTGATTTAACAGAAAATCTCGCTTGAAAGCATTTTGCAATGCTGATATCACTAATAGTAATACTGCCACTGTCAATATTCTCTGAAAAACTGGAATCAAATTCACTGTATTGTCATTTATTATTCCTTAAAAATTGGGTTGTGCGAGAGAGTTTAAAAACTTATGTTCCAAGTACATGTTTTATAGCTTCTTTTTGGAATCTTAAATTAATGGATTTTGACTTGTGCTGTCATTGATCCTGCAAAAGATTAAACTTCTATCACTATGTGTCAGTTAGGATGGTTAATTAACGGTTCGTCACTTCACACTGGTGTGAAAAAAGTTGAATTATAAGAAACCTAGTATGTTTTGTGTTTCATGTTGTAGACCCTGTTTGAATGGGATTGTTACTTAAAAGTCAAAATTCTCATTATTTAACTTATAATAGCTCAGTTGGTTGAGTATACGCCTCAGATCATTAGTGCAAGCCAAGGGTCCCAAGTTAAAGCCACGATCAGAGTAGGTTTCGTAACATTCTGATTCATTATATTATACATGTATGTATATTTTAATTTTTTATATACTTGAAATAATTGAAAAATATCTCGGTTTATTCTGAGTTTTAGTATGATATGTATGTAGATAAATAAAACAAAATTTTAAACAGGTCTGGAACATTGCTACAAATAATTAAAATTAAGATGATAATTTTTATTTGTTTGTGTGTTTTCAGCTATAAAGTGAGTTTGGGACCAGTGTGAAGCATTACTATTGCTTAAAGACATAAATTTAATCATTTATAAAATTTAATAAGCTTCTTTTTAATTCATTAATTACTTCTTCAAATTGTAAGGTGTATGATCAGATCATAACTATATTGTTTTGTGACTTTGTTCATTGAGAACAATAAATTTTGTAAATCATTACGTCTTTACTATCATTAACACTAGATTGAAACTCCATGACAAGGCATTTATGAAACGTAAGAACACAAAATTTCAATAATTGAAAATTAGTACAGTAATATTAAGCACCTGTTAGGAAAGTGAATAACTATGACATAACTTATATTAATAGATTGAACAAAAAAATTATTTGAACTGAACCATTCCTGAATATATTTGTTCTTTAAATGTGAAGTGAATTTATGTATTTTTGTTCCGTCTTTCAATTAATTAGTTGCTCGAGATCCAGGTTGTGCATACATGTTAAATATTCTGTGATAGATATTGTTTTAAGTCCAGCATATATGTGATCAACAAAAGATACACATATTTAAAAAAAAAATAAAAGATGATACTTAAAAGTAAGAGAAATGTATACTTGGTTTCAAATTTTTAGGCTAAATAATAATTTTGTAAATTTTTTCAGCTTATTGTTATATTAGTAAAAATTGCTGAAAATTACAATTATAATGAAAAATACATGTAATTCATTAAGACAATAATTTTGTATCCAGTAACCCGTTAATCACATATTAAGGTATAATGCCGAAACATTATAGAATGGTACTTAAAAACTTAAAATGAGCTTAAATAATAGATATATAAAGTTAACATTATATTTCTGATAGTTAGACCCAGTTGCTTCTCATAGTCAACAATGGAAGCATCCACATTATGTAGATTACTTGAATGTCTAAGCATACATGTGGTCAGTCCAGGTTCTCTGGATTGTGTATAAAACACCCAATGAGATATCAAGACTTCTACATCATTTGTAGTTCATTCTTAATAATAACACAAAATTTAGTTTAAGCTGCACTTTATTTCATTGTTAATTGTCTTAAGATTTTTTTCATTATTATTTATGTTGGTTAATTGGTAAGCCAGTGCTAGATTGTTGCTGTGGTTTTTACAGTATTTGAAAATTTTAAAACAGCTTTTCTCGTCATTGGGTAATTTGAAGTAGTACTAGTATATACATATATCAATTGTGGGATGGAGGCCTCCTGTAGCTGCTATATTTGGTAATGAAAATGTTATACTTACACTTTTACCTTAACTACTAACAGCCACTGTATAGACAAATTAAAATTTACTGAAACACACATAAGCTGGCACGCTATGTCAAGAAAAGAAATGCTGCTATATGTAGAGAATTCTTATAAATTTTGTTTGCATGATCAATCATCAGTAAAATGAACAGTATTCATCATTGTGAAATACTTCTTGGTCAATATACCAATAAGATGTTGGGGAACACGAATATGTGGTCGCCGGTGCTCTTCTGCTCCATGTATCTATCATTCAGTGATGGCCTACATTCTTGGGATAACATGATAGACAGCTGAACAAAACTGCCAAGTTTGTTAATGTAGCCAACACTCTACATCACTTAATTGACTTTAGGTATCCCCAGTAGTCAAAAATATAGTGGTTCATCTGACAACATTTAGCCATCTTGGAAATTTGACAGCTTGGTTAATCCACATAAATGTCATTCCAAAGATGCAGGCCATCATTCATGTGAATGGGGCCACAATGAATAGATATAGCTCCACCTGGTGACAATGTACTTGTGACCATGTACCTCATGGTCTTATTGGTTTATACCCAAAAAAATCTTGCTTTTTAATAAATAATATTCATTTTATTGATGTTCAAACACACCAGAAATGTATAGTAACTATATATCAGTTGATTAAAACTCATGCATATTCAAATTAGCCATAGTTTAAAAGGAGCAGGTATTCCTCAGTTTCTTTACCACTTCTTGTAAGTTTGTATCCTAGCTATAGTTTTAATTAAACTTCATTAACAACTATATCACTTTATTAAATTTGACATTTAGATATGTACCTTAACATAGTTTTACACTTCCAGCTGCAGCTAGTATTTGAGTTACACATTCTGTCTGGATTTGTGTATCAGATTTAGTTTTATTGCTCTGATGAGTTATAACATTAATTGATTACTTTTAGACTGGAACCTTAACAACATTTTGTAATCTATTTTTAAAACACTTATAACATTTTATGGGAACACCAAGGCATAATAAACTCCCCATTTAAAGCTGTGATTGAAATATGACATGTAGCTAACCACCTTAGCTATTCAGCAGAATCGGTTCTAGTAACTTGGTTCAATAATTAAAATATATTAAGTAGATTTTGCTCAACTTTTGAAAAAAAGCAAAATTAAAGTATATTAATTGTCATATTTTAAACATTTTAACTTATGCTTAATGTAACTTGTTAATTTATGTAATTTAAGTTATAGGCATTTCTGAGAATGAAGGTAATAAAAGTATGTAACCTCTTATTGTTTAGTTATATAACAAAACCTTAATGCCCAAATTACTTTTGTCTTTAATTCATGTTTTATTTCTACTAAAACTTTTAAGTGGTCCATTGTATATTAATTTTTTGATGTACCCAAATAAAGGTTCAATGTTTAAAAAACATATATTTTTCTTGAAATCTCAAAAAGATATTTCACATTTAACTTAGCTATCTGAATGTGACTTGAAAAAAGTAATCAACAAATTTTTTAGATTCAACCTTTTGAGAGACAGAGTTGAGAAAATATACATATTTTGTGATGATGTGTTGCTAAAACATTGAATTTATTAGTGGAGTAATTTTAGTTGTTTCTGTAAAGAGTTATTTCAAAATAACTTTGCATATAAAACAATATATTATTACACTAATTAATTTTAAAGCTACCACTTTTATAATTCACAAAAGTAACTTAAATATAGGTTAAAATCAGTTCTAATGTAGTAGAATGTATAGAAGCAAAAACAACACGTTATCATTTCAATTTGGAAGATGAAACATGTAAAATATATTAATTCCTATGTATTTATTTGGGTAAAAATTTAAACATTTAATAAAATAATGCCTCTTTTATACTCTGTTTCACTTATAGTCTACATCTCCTTTTGAAGTTGCTGTGTGTGTGTGTGTGTGTAAGCTTGCACCATTTTGTGGTAATGTCATGTGTTGTAAATAAGTATAAATATGTAATATAAATACAAATAAAATTTTTAATTACAATTTAATCTGCAACTGTGTACTTTGTTTTATTTATGGACATTTTAGAAATGTTCAGACTTTCAGTTTAGTACTTACACCAACCCACAGAATTGAATTGAATATTCAGTTCCTTTGTGTATTTATGTGATTTTAATAAATAGAAAATTTCCACATAAAACAAAATCGATGTCAAGTTTAAAACTTTACCTGTTTTTTTTACTGTGCTACAAGTAAGTTCTCATGTTCTTGTGAGTTTGATAATATAAGTAAAAAACTGGAACATTTACTGGAAAAAAATGTTTTCACCTCCTCTGAAAAACTACAATTTTGTTTGGTAAACAATTTCAAGTTAAGCCTGGATAAAGAGACAGGAGGGTACAAGAGCTCACTATGAAAGTTATTACTGTATCCATATGTGGAAGAATTTGTGGTTTTGTTGTATTTTAATGAGAGAGGGGGCTATGTGATGTCACAACATACCCAATTTTCTGAACATAATATGTGCTGTACTCAACTTATCATACCAAGAAAGAAGATTAAACTTAGGTAATTAAACCCACTTATCATCAGTGTGTAACACATTGGCAAATGTAACTATTTTATCAACCTGTTTTACATCAAAATAATAGTACACTAGTTCCAATGCTCAGGTTCGTGATGGCCAGCTGTGTTTGAAAGAGAATAGATATCTTCATGCTTTAATGGCTATTTTATTGATGAGGCCAAGCATATCTGTATATGTGCAGCAAAAATTCGTGCCCAGAAATAGAACATACTGGTCATGTTGGTAGACAAATATTCGACCTCAATGGACTTGGTTCTGTCTGGCCCATATGTAATTGGATCTATGATACAGTGGTCATAATAGGATACTCCTATTGTGGAGCAAAATGTTGTGATGTATTGATGCATTTGGGAATCCACACAGCACTATTTAGTATGATATTGATGATTGTTGTGTAACAAACCAATTTCAGAACCTGAAGCATGAAAAAATCATAGAAGCTTTATCACAGTATGTTAGAAGTCATAAAGTAAAAAGTCAGAGTTCTTCCAAATTTAGATTTCAAGTAAAAATTAATGTCAGGTTTAAACGCTTAAATGTAAGAGAAAAATTCCACTTTTGGAACAAAATCATGAGCTGCTTAATGTGTCCACACTAGATTATCATACAGTATTATGCTGTATAATTTTTACTACGAATTACCATTTTAATATTTACACATTACAATCACTTTATATGACGATCTTTTTCTCTGTCTCAATGGGAAAAGTAGTAATGTGTTGATTACTTGATTATACTACTTGGACTTGTAAGTTTATACATGTGGGTTATTCCAGGAAAAATGAAATGTACTATAAGTTAGCTACAACTGCTACTCACTACAAGAGAAACCACTACATTCGTTGTTGAACGTTGGAATATGTTTCAATTTTACTTCAGATACCTTTATCACTAAACAATGGAGCTAAAGTCTAAATCAAAAACAAAATGTGCTATCTAGAAAGAAATATGAAGCTACGAACGGGGTTGCCAGTAAAATAAGTTTAATGTGTACTGGACAATTTGGAAAGTGTACTCCAACTGTATAAACTGCTACGAGAATTATTTTGAGTTCTACCTACAGTAAAAAGAACCAAAAATCCATCACTGAAGAACAAAACAATAAATAGGGACAAAACAAGTTGTTATTCTTCTCTGTTTCCTGTGTGGAATATCATTGGTTCCAGATTATTTCAATGCCTCCTGATTGATCCAAAAAAACTAAGTTTTCCACAGCTCTAAATGACGAAACATAACTTACCATGTCTAGGGATTGCCATTGATTGAATAGAGATGACTCACACTAGGCATTAAAATTATCATTAAAATCGAATACTGGGTGTTAACTCAGAACTTGAATTCAATAAACACAATCGCAAACATAAATCCGAATTATTCACGAATCTGAAAAAAAAAGTACATTTCCACAGTTCCTGCACATGGAGTGGTATAAAATGTGCTAAAATCCAAATTATAAAGTTCTGTACAGTGAACGTTAAAGAATAAAGTTATTGCATTGTAAAATGTGTATTTGATATATACTTTAATTCACTGAATTATCAATAAATGTAATATATGAAATTAAATCACCATGCAAAGTTTTTGTATGCAACGAAGGGTATTATTACGCGTATTATGTCGAGACAAGGGTTTTATCTGAATCGTTATTTTGGTTGTTGTGCGCTACCTGAGAGGGGCAAGTTCAATTCAGACATCTTTCTCCTTCCTTAACTATGTATATCAAACTGTCAAAATACTATTGAGTTATTCATAAAATCAGGGCTTGAACATTTTACGTAAATGAATCTGGTGGAAATGCTCATTCTTCTTCCTTCTTCAGGGTCATCCATGTCTATGAATAGAATGCTTATTGGCATTTAGTGCAATTTTACTATTTCCCTACATTTGGTCGTTTATACGCACAAACAGTTCCGTAGTAAAAAAAAAAAGTCACTTTTTTTTCAATGGAAATAGTTATCAGTCACGTATTTCACATACATTGTGAAATACATTGGTTATACCTAATTCTAAGTGATATTTTAAGGTCTAGTGCAGGTGGACTTTTCATATAGTAAAATTTGAGTGGAGATGTCAAGACAACTTGGTATTCAAATTTCAGTTCAAAAACAATTTTAGAGTTAATTTAAAAATAAACAAAGTCCTACGCCTCGAAGTTTTTAAAGTCTTTGACATTTTCCATATTGCAAAACACTGCATAAAATAAAATAAAAGTTTGGATCTTTTCACATATAATTATCTATTAATTAACTGAGGTTGCAGAAAACATATTGTTACGTCTCCGTTTGTTAATTAACTTTCCGTAACTTCGTTCCGATGAAACTTTAGCGACACAAGTCCTTACTTAATTAAACTGGTTTATTCTTTCCGAATATAACTTTACGATACACTTAATTTCAATATTCGCGCTAAAACAAACACTATAACGAACGAACATTAACTTCAACAATACGTCTCTCTCTGACTGCAGTTCAATTACTCATTACCTACACACACATTATTGTCCCGTCACGTTGTCACCCTCTTTTATATACCAGGCTACCCTATATCTAGTAAATACTAGAGCATTCGCCAAGGTACAGGATAGTTCTAGAAAATAGGTGGCGCCACACCAGTCACGTGACCTCGATGACGCAACAATATGCATTTTTTATTCAATTCATAATTTCACAATACTTTGCTTCTCCCTAGAAAAATTTCTGCGGACGCCCATGAAAGTGAATTGGGGTTATTTTGACACTAATCTGTATGCAAGTGTCGGCTACTACTAATCAATAAATAAACGCACCCATAACTGGTCATACAGCTTCAGACAAAAAAATAGATTTAACAGTAATAACATTTAAGAAACATAGAAATATCATGAAAAAATAACATTCTATGTATTCATTGTATATCTAACGTCATATTGCCGAAGAATACTATAATGATCAAATCAACAATTTTTCAAGTTATTTTTCAACACTTCAACAGTTTTCGACTTTTGACAGCTATACATGTAAAATTAAGCCTGCAAAAGGCCGATGCTTTTATTTTGCTTTTTAAAACTTTTTACACTATATTTTGTTTGACATATGAGATTGATATTCAGCTTAACAAAGTCCCTTTAGTTCGCGATATTAATTACTTTTATCCCTTTCTTGTAGATTGGATTATCTATCTAATTTCTATGTATAGAGTTCTCTGTGAGCTTTTATTTATGAGTACTGTAACTATTTCGTTTTCTTTCTCTTTTTTTAACCGCATTTTCACCTCGTTTCTGAGTTTTATTACTATTGTCAGAGTATATTATTTTGAATAAATACAATGATCTATTAACGTATGTAGTAGATTCTTAATAATATTTTTTTACTAAAATCTTAAATAGAAAAACTGCGCAAGCGCAATTACACAAGGACCTTCGGGATACCGAGAATCGACCCTGAATAATAATTAGGCCATTTACAGATCTAGCTTAGGCTTAACGTTTGAGGGTATATTAACTTTACTGGAATTTTGGAGAGCTTTTAGGTATAACTCATTGCTTTGAAAATAAAGTGAATTTTATTACGATAATGACCTTAAACATTTTTCTTCCAAATCACGATAAGGGATGACATCTGAGAGTGTACGTATTAGTACTAATACCACTGACTTCAGTAAGATTTGGGGAAAGCTTGTACTGAACTCATTATCGTTAGTTTCGATATTAAATTTAAAGAGTGGAGCTCTTTAAATTTTTTCGCCAGTATTAATTCTGATAATATTAGGCTCTAAGTTACAGTGTTAAGAGTAGCAGCTTTCGTATCCTAGATGTGAGTTTAAGTTGTGTGATTTTTGTTAATACGAGTAAAACGTAAAAAAGAAGAAAAAAAAATACTGTAAAATATACCTTAAGTTAAATTTGAACATTAATTCATCTGCTGAACAGCACAAAAATAATACTATTACTAATAATAATAGCCTAAAATATTAATACTTCTGTATCGTTATATTAATATTATTATTTAGGTTCAGGATCATTTTATAAATAATATTTATTTTACATTTAATGATTTATTTAGGCCTATGTGTTTTACTTATGCATCTTTACGTAACTTTTTTAAAAGGTATATGTGGTGAATTGACGGGTTTAACTTTTAAGTTTAAGACCAAATGGTAGTTTTTAAGAAGCACTAATTGATTATTAAACTAAAGATTGACATCTCTCAGTATCCCTGTTAGTTTAGTACTGGAGTGAACATTAGATATCTGATGCATTAGTCTAACTTAACTTTTCTGTGAAGAGACTTGTCTTAAGTTAAATAAGCACAGTTAAATCTTGGTACACTACTCCTATAGTTCTGCCAGTTAATTTTGTGTACTCATATGTGATCAGAAAAGCTTACAGCCATGCCAAATTTTAGTGGAACCCTGAAACTTAAGTTGTGTGAAGCAATTGATTTAAAACCCACGGAATATGCTACAAGGCATGCAAATGTCGTGGGTAAGCAACAGCTAGCTATCGACCCCTATGTTTCCATTGATATTGATGAAGTTCACGTTGACCGATCATCAACTAAACAAAAAACTTTCAAGCCTATCTGGAATGAGTTTTTTACATCTGAAGTTCACAATGGACAGAATCTGGGATTGACAGTATTTCATGATGCAGCTATTCCTCCTGATGATTTTGTAGCTAATTGTACAATATCTTTTGAAGAAATACTGACATCATCAAAGGAAGCCAACTCTAATGAATCAGATATATGGGCAAGTACTTGTAGTTCATTCTTTGAAACTGTTTTGTTTCATTGATATATTTTACAGAGTTATTTTACCTACTAAAAATTAAATAAATTTTATCTTGGAAAAAGTAGTAACTTAAAGGTAATTTCTATACACTATTAAAGAAAAAAGAATTATTTATCTTATACTTTACTTCAGAAACAGCTCATAAGAATTTAAAATATGTTTTGTGAATTAATTTTTGAAATGTGAAATTAATTGGAAAATCTTATCTTTAACATTTGGATATGAACATATACTTCAAAGTCTGACAAATTGCTTGAGTGGTTGGACAGTTTCAAGATTTTTATGTGAAAATGTATGACATGTCCTATCTCATTGCTAATCAGTTAAACATGTCATAAGATTTAACTATTTTAGCATTTATTACACCCTTAATTATAAAATGTTTGTTTCACCATTTTGTACTATACTGAGATAATGCATTCAGCTATAAATTATGTATTTTTCTCATACAGTTATTTTGAATTTCAAACATTTATATTATAGAACATATTTGATATTATAATGCATGTGAGCTGCTATAACTATGAGATGTCGTACAAACTCGCAAAGAAACAGCAAAATTGTTAAAGGTAAATTTCAAAGTGATTCACTAGATGGTGAGGTTTAAATACATAGTTGATCATATATTAAAATACTACATTCAGCCATGCCATGTACATAAAACATTTTTAATCCGGCTAAGGTATATTTTATAAAACATCAGACAAATATGCAGACATCAATACAAGGAAAAATTAATATATTACATGAACTTATGAAGAATACAAGTATAACCTCTAATGATTTTGACTGTAATGTCAATTTCACAAATCTAAAACCCAGCTACTAGTTATCACTTTTCTCAGTGTACTAAAAAGTTCAAACTAGTGATTTTGATCTTGCGCATTTTACAAATTGAAACCCACGTTGTCTGTTGTGTGGATTTTTTGGTTGTTGATTGGAGTACATTTTTCAATCAGGCTTATACACCACCTAGTACTGTTTAACCATAGAATTACAGGTGGATTCTGTTAAGACCCCATTATATTTTAAAAAACATGTGTGTCTAAACTATTTAAACAAACAATTTGTGAGTCCATGACTTTATTGGTTATGGGATCACTAATAACATCCAAGCCATACACAAAAATGTTAATAAAAATACTGTCACAAATAAAATTAATCCTACTAATTACTGCTAAGGTTTTCTGAGAATTTTACATAGAAAGTGAGTGATTTTACTTAATTTTTATTGTCAGTTCTATACACTGAGTATTGTAGTGGGTAAAACATGAACTTACACAATACTGTGCAGAATGTAAACCCCATTGGTAGTGAATACTGTGTTAACAAGTTGGTAATTTTGGAGTTAAATATCATTCATTCATATTTATATATACACACACACATGTGTGTACATCATTTAGTTGTGTCTACATATCATCTAGAAGAGTTGATAAACTGTTCACTAGTGCTTATACAACATCTAGTATTTTTTATAAACTACCTGGATATACTGATGTTTTACCCACTAGTATAGGATTTAGCATTGTCTAATGACATTGATAGGAGCATAAACAGTAAATTAATAGTTTGCTAATTGACACTCAGCTCTTTGATATTTGTATATGTATTGAGATTCTACAGAACAACATAGGTCAATTGGGAAATTTCACAAATAGTTGACAAATGACCTTTAATTGCAGTAAGTGCAAGGTGACAGGTTATCATAATTTGTGGATCATATGTTTAATGTTGATGGATAGTTACACAAGTCATCGAGGCTGTTGCTTGTGGTAAGATTAATAGAATTTCAGGGTAGATATGTTGATTTCAAGCCAGAATAATTATCTGTTTATATAAATCACTACTTAGGCCTTACTTGGAAGGGTATTCACTTATTGGAGATAGTTCAGAGAGATGTTTCTAGGATGATTCCAGGTATTAAAGGGTTATCATTTAGAAAGGGATTAAAGTTAGCTTATTTTTCTCAAGGAAAAATGGGTAAAAAGTGTTCTTATAGATGTTTAAGAGGGGATCAAGAGGATAAAGGTCTTGGATGTCATTGTGCTTTATTTTGAAGGCAATAGGATGAAAGGATACAAGTTTGAGATTTATAAAAACAAGCTAAGCTCCAATTAAGACAGTTTTATTTTTCTAACTGAGTGATTAGGTTATGGAATGAGTTGCCATTGACATTAAGGGAGGCTGACACCTTACAGGACTTTAAGAGGGGTAACTAGTGATTTTAAAAAAAATAAAAGGTGGTTTTACATGTTTATTTTTTCAAATTGATGTGCACGGACAGCCTAGAAGGACTAAGTTGTTTCTTGTTCACTGGATATTGTTATACTTCACTGAGTTGTGTTTTTACACTATCATGGAATTCTTTCACTCACTCAGTAGTGTTTATTAAAGCTGGATGATTAAATTGAGTTACTGATTACCTATGAGCACCAATTACATTGAGTAGTGTCACATAAAATAATCAGTTAATGAAATTATGAATAAATTGATTAATGTTGTAAAAATAATCACCTAATCAAAATTACTGTTTTTGATTATTATTGTTTGCAGTTATTCCAACTGTCCAAGTAATCAAAATGTTTCACATTATGATTTCTCTTTATAATTTTTGATGAATTCAAGGTTGATCAATTTAATCATTTAGTGTCATGACTCATGAAAATAATCAACTAATCAAAATTGTTATTTCTGATTATGACTATTTTTTGATTAATAAGCCCAACAATCAATTATCAAATTTGTCTAATCATACAGTTCTAGTACATACCTTTGAGCCATAATACTTACCACTATAAGGAATGTTTTTAAGATATTTATTTGTGTTTATACACCATTCAGTACCAAATAGTGTTGTTTGTACAATATATAATTGTGTTTATACACCATTCAGTACCAAATAGTGTTGTTTGTACAGTATATAATTAATGGTGTATAAACACCCAGTACCAAACAGTGTTGTTTGTACAGTATGTAATTGTGTTTATACACCATTCAGTACCAAACAGTGTTGTTTGTACAGTATGTAATTGTGTTTATACACCATTCAGTACCAAACAGTGTTGTTTGTACAGTATGTAATTGTGTTTATACACCATTCAGTACCAAACAGTGTTGTTTGTACAGTAT